CCAAAAAATCGAAAAGAAAAAAAAATTTCTCAAGAAAAACTGAACGTGAATTAGCTCTGATACCAATTGATAGAACTAAAAAAATCACATTCAATTTTGAGAGAAATAAGCCATAGATTAGCGGAAGCGTACCGGAATCCATTAGATCGATTGCACAAGATATGATCTTCCAATCTGCAGATTTTCCAGATTTTCCTTAGTTTCTTGTTGATGGGGTGCAAGAAAAGGGATGTGTCTATCTGCAAATTGGGGACCATCACCCTTTGAAGTAACTACCAGGCGGTTACAAAAAAGTTTTGCTTAATTCTAATTCTGCCCCTCATCAAATTAGAATTTGCACTTATGGTATCCACACTATAATATCATGACAAATGTGCCCAAAGTCATAAACTTAATTCTAAATTAGACCACAATAATTTTGACTTATTTAATGATGACCCAACACATTTATTAATTACATTGTAGTCCCAAAATTAATCCAACACTTAAATCTACTCAAGATAGTTAGCATGGCTGAACTAAGCTAACTTAGGAAACTTCACACAAAAAATCAAATTGGAATCTTCCACACCGAATAGCTTCATGTATTCCTCAGAAGAGTCCTCAAGCAATTCCTCACTCTCATAACACTTCCAAATTCAATAACCATCAAGGCTCCCCAATCATAGTGTTGTGAGCCAACCCATCATTTCAATGATTCTCAAACTCAATTGAAGGTTTGAGAAGTATTAATGAAGTTCCAAAAGTCCGCTCGAGTTATAAATTGCAAGTAAGGTCACTCAAATAAATATTTAAAAATCCTAATGTTGACTTTATTTTTTTGGTCAAACCTTTTACTTAGCTTCGTACGTTCAATTTGTTTAAGAATTTGTTATATTTATAAATAAATAATTAATTAAATTCACATTTTATTTAAATATAATTAATAACTAAGTTAAAATTTTTGGATTAATTTAAGTCTTTGAACAATTAATATAAATAAAGTTTTTTTTTTATTGTTTGTACTAATAGCTATAAATTATAAAATTAGTTAAATGTATATTATAAGATGTATTAAGTAGTTTCTTTTAAAAAATTAATCTCCTATATTTTGTAAGATTTTATGATTAAAAAATAATATCTTTTTTTTAACTATCAAATTTTTAGTGTTAGTTTAAAATTTTTAAGTATTATCTGAGAATAAAAAAATATGTAAATTAATTTAAACATTCAATAAATTTGATGACAAGATTTGTTTTTTTTTAAATTAAAAAATTAAATTATAACGTATTTTTAAGAAGAAAAAGTTTGAATTTTGGATCATACTTAATTTTAAAAATAAAAACTCTCTAATAAGCTCAAAAATTATTAATACGCCACCAACAAATTTTTATCATCTGACACGAATCTCGGTGCAATTTTTTGAACAAGAAACCTTCAAACTTCGATTAAGAGTCATCCAGAGCTCCGATTTCAGCAAACTTATATTCAAACTGATCGGCTCGATGCTTGATTCATTTTCATCTGAGTGTGTGCTGAATCATCGCGTAACGCTAAAACGATAATCCATTACTCTACCGCCGCGAATTTTCTAGCACGCATCAATTATTTTTCTTAAAAAAAATTACATGCATATCCCATAATTCTTAAGTGTTCACATACCTAATGTCTAATTTTTATATTTAGATTTATAGGACTTTGGTATATTAAATTTATGCATTAAAAATATATTTAATAGTGATATTTTTAGGGATTGTATGTAAAGGGCTTTAAAAAAATCAATAAATATTATAAATCCAACTTTACTATATCCTATTAGCAATAGGATTTATAATACATGGGATTTAAGGAAAAACTGAGATGAAATTAGATTTACTAAATTTTGGATTTAAAATTATTAATTTTTTGTCAGGCAAGATTTATGAAAAATCATATTCAAATAAATTATCATATAAGGGCTTAATATTAAAATAGTTGATGATCACTTTTAATTTTTAATTTATTTTATTTATATTTTTACTGAAATAAAATATATTTGTTATGTTATGATATGTTTAGTTATTTTAAAAAATATTCAAAATATCTTTTAGGTATTATATTTTGATTCTATTTGAATACAAGATATTTTATTTTTGAAAAAAAAAACATATAAAATTATATTTTAAATAAATATTTTTAAAAAATAAAAAATAAAAAATGGAGTGTTTTGTATGTAAATATTAAATTTGAGGTTAAATGTGTAAATATATAAAAATTATATGGTATGTCCTTAAATGCCTCTTGTCGATTGATAATTCATGAAACAGGTACTCCAAATCATATCTTCCTCCTTCGTCCTAACCCCAGGCTTTCGATCTCCTTGAGGTCTTTGGCCTGTTAATGTCTTCTTCTTCATCTTTTGCGGCTTTAAGGAAATTGCACTTGTTCGCTCGACCGCCCCAACTCACCAAGCTTGCTCTCCATCCCCCGAAAGCCGTATTTATTTCCCTTCTCTCCTCGCCTTCTAGATTCTGCAAACCTATTTTTCTTAAGCCCTAATAAATAAACTCGTCTGAATTTCAATGTTATTGACATTTTTATAGAGGTTTTCTGCAAGGTTACTTTGTTTGCTAATCATGATCCATGCTGCATGCTTGATTTGATACAGTCCACTGGTGCCATTTTACCTTGTTGTAGATTGAAGTTGTCTGAGCGCGGGAGACCAACTAATCTGTTTTGGTGAAATTCTAAAAAAATTAACTTTAACTGAACATTGATAATTTGATGAAATAGTGGGCATCGTTTTTTTGGTTTTAGCAAATATCTGCATATTTAGTTGTTCAATGGTTATGGGAACAGGAAATGGATGCCTTGTGAAATCAGTTTACTCAACTTAGTTTGGATGGAATGCTTGTTGAATATTTTAGGGTCTCTTTTTATATAGTTATTGTAAACTTTAATTTTGTTTAGGCATGTGAAGTTTTGAGTTTAGTTTCATCCCAAACAATTAATGGCAATGTTGGTGTAGAAATGAGTAGCAACTTTTGGCGCTACTCTATAAGTTTACACTCTTGGATTAAAAAAGGTTTGTGCATGGGTGTATTTGGCCAAACTTTGGTCTCTCTTTGGTTCATCATCTCTAAAATATGTTATAAAGGCATGAGATGTATCTATTTTTTGTCTCATATTAGATAATTGAATGATATGTTGGTTTGGCTACCTAACAAGTGACATCAAAACAAAAATTTGACTAGGCTTGTGTGATCAATACACAACTCTATTCCCATGGTTGGATCCCTATGGTGGGGGAATTCAAGTTTCTTGGCCTAATTTGCAAAAGAAGACCATGCGGAGAGAGCTTTTTGGCATTTGTGATGTATGACACTCAACTTGGTTTTTGTTAGAAAGTTTTTGACTTCAGAGATAGAGCTATGATCTTTTGGAGGGCTATTATGTGAGAGGGAGATTTTCCAATACATGTGAGTCTATTTGGTATAGTCTAACTTTACATTGGTAAAAAAAATTGCTGGTCCACAAATACTAATTGTTGATTTTAATATAATGGCTTAAGCTTTGAGTTGAGAATGAGTTTGAGAGTCAGTCTACTAGGGCCTACTTTGATTCATACTCCTTGATACATATATTATTAAATATTGGGCTAGTGGTTTTAACCATAACATTTTCAAATAGGACTTACAAAATACCCAAAATCATTATATATATATATTGAAAGGCATTATATTTATTAAGCTAGAACTATTTAACCTACTTTTAATCATGACTAGCTATTGTTATAATTAATGCAATTATGGATATTTGACATCTCATCGAACCACCCATAAAAAGACCCATAGCCTTCTTTGGTACCAATACTAGGCATAGAGTGATGCAACAATTTTGATTTTGAGGTGTTATCTAGCATAGCTATCTTGTCTGAGTTTGACTGCTGTCTTGAGCTATCTTGGTGGAGGCTCTGCGTGATGGTTTTGTATGACTAAAGCAACTTCAATGTTGGGTTGCTTATGTGCAACCTGCAATGATGTTCCTCATTGCTCTTATGTCGTGCTTTACTTGATCTCATTCATTATTTTTGGTCCCCGTGGTGTCTACCTTGTCTTAATTTGCATCATCTTGCTGCATCTTCTAGATGAGATAGGAGTATTCATGACCATACATGTCAGTGTGCTACTTGGCACTGGCTTTGTATGATGAGGTTTAACTAATTGAGCTTGAAGTGTAAATTGTAGAATGATTCAGAATTGGAGTGTAAAAGGTTATTGGAAATAATAGGAAGCTATGACAAGGGAATGTAATCCTTATAGAAATTTTGAAGGATAGGGTTTTCTCTAATTTCTAGACCAAATTAGTAAACAAACTCATTGTTTACAGCAAACAAGGAATAAAATAGCCTGGAATCTGTCAATAAGGAAGATGTTGGAAGGTTTTTGCAACTAGATAGGGAGGAGCTTGATGATTGAATTATTTGTTTGAAAACTTGCAACTACAATGACATGGAGGCCATCAGTTGTCAGATGACCCGAGGGCTTGTAACTTGAATGAAAACAAAGCGAGAATGTGAAAATGAAGAAAGAGTGCTCACTGCTGTTTATTGGAGGAGAAGAGGAAGGGTTGGGACACTTGAAATCAAATTTCATTTATTTGAAAATCAATTTTATATTTCAAAGTTGATCTATTTATTAAGATACAAGAAATCTCAATGAATCTATCTTTATCTGGAAAAATGTAGAAGTCCTGAACTTCTTTTTAAAAGTAGCTAGCTCTTTTCTAGATTTTATCCTAGAAAGGTGGTTGGCCCATGTAGGATAAGGAGGAGAATCTTGTTAAGGGAATTATGTTAGATTTTTTTATTCTCTCTCTTCTTGTTTTATGCTGTTATTCCTTATATGGAATTCTAAATTGTAATTTTTTGCGATTAAACTCCCACTCAATTCAACTATGAAAATTTATCCTTGTAAGGCTAATTATGTAATATTCTTGAGATCCTCTTGGATCAAAGACTTCTTATTGAAAGGATTTGGTAACTCCATGGTCTTGAAGGTGGAGAGGATGTTGTCTTTCCTTGAAGGTGCCCTACATGAGATCCTTAATGTTTTTGGAGAGCTTGTGTTGATGTACCAATGGTTTAAATGGTGGGAATGGCATATGTTTTTTCTTCATCCTTACAGTCTACACCTTGGATATGTAATTCATTGAGGAGAGTTTGAAGATGAACTACATTTTCCCAATATCATATATTATTTAGATTGTATTTAGGACGAAGATGGGGGAGGTAATAAAGTTCTTTTGGCATATTTCATTTTGTATTAAACTATATGATAATTTTGATTTTTTTTTCATGTTACATTGGTATCATTACAACACTCTGTGTTATGATTAGGCCTATATATTGCGTTACATATGCACTTTTTTTAAAATAGTTTTTCTTACCTTATTATTTTTTAGGTCTAATTGAAAACCATAGTCAATCATTTGGCTGAGTAGTATTGTCTTTGGATCTCTAAATTTGAGGTCTAAACTTTGAATCATTGCATAAAAAAAATGAAGAAGATCACAATGCTTTGTGAATATGCAGGTCTTTTTTATAGATGTGAATCAAATTATTGCTATTTTAGAAATTTTGCCCAATAGATTACATATGCATCAGTGCAAAAAATCCTTTTGTTAAAGGGTTTGTGGCACACTTATCATGTATAAATTATCTAAATCCTATGTGTCTACCTAAGATTATTCAACATAGAACCACATTCAATTTGATTGGATGAAAGTATAAATACTAAAGCATTTTTTTCATACACCAAAGGCCTATTTGGGGCGGTGGTAGAGGTGTGGTGCGGTATGCACCGTACTGCTTATGCGTTTGGGAAAATTGTGTTTTCTCTGCTTTCTCAAGAACCTGTAGTGGGAAAGCTGGGTTTTACAACTTAGTTTAACTATGTGCGATTATTGTCAGAAAGCTGCAGTCTAACTTTTTGAAACAAAAAAAAAAAAAATTGTGATAGCCTCTGCAGCTTCTTGAATAGTAGCTTATTCTGCAGCAACTTCATAGCTGCTTGAAAAAGCAACTGTAGCTGTAGTTGTCGCAAATAGACCCTAAATCATGTGAAGATTCTTATTTTCTTATAAAAAAAGTTAAGATCCTTTAATATTAATTTTCTATTAGACAATGATTCTTAAATAAGAATTCCCTTTCTCTTAAGAAGTAAATATAATTAATAAGAAACGTTGTAGTTATTTGGATTTGATACTTTACCAATTTTCTATTTTTCTATAATATTTGATAGAGATTTTTGATAGAAAATAAAATTTGCTTATGTTTTAAAGATGGCTTTAATTTGTAAATAATACTAACCAGGAATGGTTGGATCAATAAAATTTATATAAAAGGGCACTCATTAAAACTTAAATATAAAAAAGTTTGGGGTTTCAATGTATTTGCTAATTAATGTTTTTTTTACTTTTGAAGAGACATTTTTAATACTACAAATAGCTTTATGAGGCCATAATATTGGTCTCGGGTTCAAGATCTTGTTGACATGGTGTGAACGAATTTTCTAGCTTCTGATGTGTGTTTAAATCTATTACTAACTTTTTTATGCTCAAGTAAAATATGTGGGATACCTTGAATAAAACATACGAAATCCATTTTTATCCTTAAAAAAAAATTTCAATTATCTCTGATTACAAGTATGCTAGTTCACTTGATCTTGGAGTCTTGGAATTTGAATCCACATCGATGCAGCAGAGTTAAAATGTTTTAAACTTGCACTTTTCTAAATTCTTCAAAGATATATAATTATTTATAACTAAATAAATTTCACACCAAATTTAATGCCTAGATATTCCAAAAATTTCACGTGTATCTGGACTTGGATGTTGAAATTTCTCCAAATTGGCATGTTGATGGAAGCCAAATACAAAACTCTATGTGCAGCCCCTACTTTTAATGAATAACAAATTTGTGGGTTCGGGTGTGGGAGAGGCGAAGAGAGAAAGGGAGTGATAGATATATGGTACAATATGAAATCTTATGGTCCTTGGAAATTCAAGAAATTGCATGAGAGAGATTGAGATAGAGAGTGAGGGAGAGAGGTGGGGTATTGGGTGTGGGCATTACATGTTCAGTACACTGTGGAGGTTGAAGTGCCTTATAAAATGCAGCAGTGGCGGGCATGGAGAGATGCATCGTGCATTGGGAAGATGACATGCCTTAGCAATAGAAAGGGGAGTTAGAACGAGCAAACACGGTTATAGTGAGGGAGGGACCAAATGTGCTTGATAGAAAGTGCTTGAGGGGGGTGGTTTATAGCGTGTATATCTGACAAATCCATCTTTTAATGGCACAAAATTTCTAAAGAGGTTGTAAGTTCAGATTGTAAGTTCAGAAAAAAAAAAAAATACTACATAAATGAAAGCTTCTGTTTTGATGACTGCCCTGAGACCTGAGGGTAGTACTTGCTTTTATCTTTCTAGATTTTGTATAGGAAGTCACTACGTAACTACCAGTCTACCAAGCTACTAGGAGCTTGGGTAATTTAAATGAAAGTAAATATTTGTTATGATATACATTACATCTCATATGTTGTTATTTTATCTTTGAATAAGTTCTTGCTATATGCAATGCTTGTTCTGATTGATTCTATTGCTACATGCATGCTTTGATCATAAATATGCATTGCTTTTAAGGCTAGATATAGGATATAAAGTTCAGAAAAAAAAAGAGATTTTTCTTACAAATTCAACACTTACTCGTCCAACTATTGATATGTAGCTGAATACAATTAATATGATAACATGTGCATGCAAGTGTAATGCTTGTGATGTCAATATAGATATAGATAATTTGTGAGGGTAAATATATGACTTAGCTGCGGGCATACGTTTGATGCTATTCAAAGCTTTTATCTCAGGTGTTAGTGTAGAATATATACTTCTTAGCTGCATGATTCGTGACACAGTAACATGCATATTATTGTTTTTCTTTTTTGATGGTGTATTTGAAGGAGCAAATTAAGGCGAGCTCATGCCAATACTTAATTAAACCAAGCTGAAAACATAAAATTGATTTTAGAATATTTGTTTATTGCAACCTTATAATCTCATTCTCTTTACAGGTTGAGGTTGAATTCTCTGATGGGAGTTCATTCAATTTGTCGGCAGAGTTTCTAAGGGTACATAGCCCTGCAGTTGATGGCAAGGTTAGGTCGATTGGTGGCGAGAAGGTAAGCTTATGGTCTTATTCTTTTTTGAAGAGTAATGTTCTTGACATTAAGATTTAATGATCTATGATATCTGAGAGATTCCTTTATGCTGAGAAAATCTACATATTAATCTCATAATAACTTCCACTTCTTTTTCATTCAAAGGATCTACTAAATATATTAGTTTAAGATGACCGGCTTTTTTTTAATTAAACTCTACGGGCTAAATTTTTATTTTTTTTAAATTAATTAAAGACAAACCCCTCCTAAAGATTTAGGTGAGGGATGTTACGTTTCATTTTAAATACCCAAGGAAGACGAAGATGGGGAGAGGAAGGGAGGAGTCGGAAAACTGAAGAGGGGGAGAGGAAGCGAGGAGTTGGGAAACTAAAGAGGGGGAGAGGAAGCGAGGAGTCGGGGACTCGAATGGGTACTTTCTTCTATAAATTGTCACATAATGGAGGTAGAGGTGAGATCGAGAGGTAGAAATGATTTAACTAGGTCGCGTGTGTCTAGGGTAGAGAAGACTACGATGTCATTTACACTTCATGAGGAGAAGAGAGGTGGTTTCGAGGAAAAAAAAGTGGGAGGAAGAGGTACCCTGTGGAAGGAGTATTCCTGTGTGCTGGAGTCTGATAGAATGCAGATGAAGAGGAGCTCTTGACCAAGCCCTAGTGTGTGGGGGAAGGAAGAATGACGTCAAGTATGCGAAGGAAGAGAAGCAATTGAGCAGAAAAAGAGGATATAAGAAGCTAGCGTGCGAAGGAAGAAGAAATCCATGTTGGTGCTGAGCTGGGCCGAGATTTTGGTAAGGTAAAAATTATAAGTTTTGTATTTTAATATTATATATTATTTGGTTTATATATATATATTGCAATGCTCTGTGGCGTTGAATTTGGCCTTTACATGAGAAGCATAAAACCAAGTTAAGTGTTGCCGAGATGAGAAAGATTAGGTGGATGAGTGGCTTTACAATTAGAGACATAATGCGGAATGAATTTATCGTGATAGGGTTGGTGTAGCTCCAGTGACGGACAAAATTAGAGAGAGTCGTCTTAGATGGTTTGACCACATTAAACATTGACCATCTGATGATCTAATTATGAGAGTAGATGTTTTAGATCCGACTTATGTTAACAAAGGCAGAGGTAGACCTAGGAAGACTTGAGCTTATTGAATAAAAAATGATCTTAATTTATTAGAGCTAAATGAAAATACAATACTAAATAGAAAACAATGGAGAAAAAGGATTTATGTAGCCAACCCCTATATATATATATATATATATGTAATACTAATAAATATAATAATAATAATAATATAAAATATTTTTTTGAAATATGAAAATAAAACTACTACTTATTTAAATTTGAGTGGATGTTTATTAAATATTGAGTAAAATTATAAATGTTGATTTAGTTGATGTTTTGATAGTCAAATTGAAGTAACATAAATGCTTAAAATAAATCTTCTAATCAACAATTAAAGTTACATAAGTAAGATTAATTAAACATAATTAATGATATGCTAAGATTATATTTATACGATATTGTAGGCAGTTAATTATTAGAGACAAAGATTAAACATATTTGAAACAAGTTATATAACTTTGAGGTGAGTACTCGTACTTTTACTCTATGACAATATTTTGGTTTTTCTTGATTTTTTATGCATTAGTAGATAATGAAATTTGCATAAATGTTATTTTGATTTATTTATTTTTTTATTGGTCATATTGATAGGAATGCTAATGAGGGACACTAAGGTATCCATGCACGTTTATGAAAAAGATATTGATATTGATATGTCTTAATTGACGATTGTACATATATAAAATGATATTGATATACTAAGGTTTTTGCATAACATTAAATATTTTTCAGGAGTCTAGATCGCAGCCTATCAGAAGTTATGAGGATTATATTTATTTCTTAATATAATTTTAATTCCTTGGATTGGATTTTTTCTCTTTCCTATTTTAGGTTTTCTTATTTTATATTTTTTCTTTATCTCCAAAATAATTAATATAAATGATTAATTGGAGATTTTAGGTGATAAATCTTTTCTTCATATTATTTCCTTTTTATTGTCTTTATTCTAGTATTTACGTAAATGTTATTTATATCCCATTTCATAGTAATAAAAAAATCTTGCTTTATTCCACTTTATTTCGTGTTATTTTGAGTTTCAACAATACTTTTAATCTAGGGTAATATTTTGGTTATTCTCGATTTTTTATGCGTTAACAGATAATGAGATTTGCACAAACTTTATTTTGATTTATATATTTTTATTTATTGGTCATATTAATAGGAATGCTTGTAGTCACTTATTATCATGCATGTTAAATTTAGTATATTGAATTGAATGCGACAAACACATGAATAATATATCTATATTGATTGCTTGTATGTGCATGACTGAATATGATAGAGTCACCTCTTAATGATACTAATGGAGGGACATTAAGGTAACATTGCACGTATATAGAAAATGATATTATTATTGATATGTTTTAATTGACACAATTTTTAGACGGTGCTCTTGTGACGATTAAATATATATAAAATGATATTGATATGCTATTGATACAATAAGATTATTTGAATAACATTAAATAATTTTATTGATTTATTAAAAACTTAACTGATATGTATTTTTGTTACTTTTTTCTTATATTACCATGGTTTATGAGTATGGGTATTTACTTGTTCTTTTAGCTCACAGTTGTTTTAAACCAGATTAATTTAATTGATAAAAAAATGAGTCATAGAGGAAAAAACATTTATGGAAGATGTGAACAATCAGTAATGAGGTAATTTTAAATTTATTTTCTTTAGTAGCTCTTTCATGAATATTCAAATGTTAAACTGTTGGTGATAGAAATAGAACATAAGAGAGTTGATTTCCATCGTCTGACCGTTCGTTTTCTTCTTGCTTAATTTCAAGCTCCGGGTTGGGTCGTGACAAGGGAGCTCATTTTAGTCACGTCAGCTGCCACAGAAGCGTGAATAAATGAGGATGACAACTCACTATTTTGGCCCATTGCTATCCATAGCTTTGATGATGGTATTGTTATCCATTTTATAGATGACAACATAATCATTAAAGCTTTAGATGCAATATTTTTTTTTTTAAATTTCCATTCTTCCTTTTTGCCTTTGCTCCTTTTATTTTCTCCATTCTTTTAATCGCACTAACATTCTTTTTAGCAGTTCACAGTGCTTATTTCTCGGGTTCAATTCTAGAAATTTGTTATTACATTTTAGTTATTCCTTCACTTAAGGTAAATTCTTCAAGTCATGTATATTTTAACATATATAGCCACTCTCTTCCTGGCTGCACAAAAATTTTAGATCCTGCTTATTTATGCTCGTAGATTGTAGATCGAGCAACAATGGAAGTTTTATTCTACGTTTTGGTGGAGAATTAGTGGTATTTTGTAATTTTTTTTTCTACTTATTATGGTGAAAATATCAAGTTTTTCCACGCCCTCTTAATTTTTAGCTTGAATCAAGTGAAAGTAAGAATTCAATGAGTCATTGGGTCTACACTGAAATTTATTCCACTAAGCTCCATATTAAATATAAACCCTAGATAGTCTAAAATATTATTCTGATTGAAAAACTTGTGGTTTATAGCTAAAATTTTTTTCTCCTCACGTTATAGGTAATCTTTGGCAGGCGTCATGGGAACAAATCTGATGAACCAATAGGAAACTACGGAATAAGGTAAGAGCTAGCTAGCTCTTTTCCCTCTTTTCTCTGATACAGTTTATATGTTTTTCTTGCTAAGTTTGTTCTATTTTTCGTATAGAATTTTTTTTGATGACTTGCATAAGACTGGAATCTACACTTGGGACTACTTCTATCATTTGGGTTCCAACAAGTTTGCCCTCATGAGAAGCTACATCAAAACTTTGAAGCGGCATGGCCTTAGCCGTGATCCGCAAAGGAGAAAATGATCTCCAAAGCTAGCTGCCCAATCCATAGATGTATTTCAAATCGCTTTAGTTACATCAAAGGTATATAATTGTCAACATAATTATTTTTAGGGGCATTTACATACATAGCACGCAATTCCTATGTATTTACATATCTCCACCTAAGTCTTCATATTTGCACACATATCACTCAAATATTTAATATAAAATAAAAATAACACTATTATCATTTTTTAAAAGTGAAATACACCTTTTCATGCATAGGTTTAAAGCACCAAAGTGCTATGCATGTGAATATGAAAGTGTGGGTGTGAGATATGTAAATACAAAATAATTGTGTTTTACGTATGTAAATTTCCCTTATTCTTTTAAGTCTTATCCTTGCTGTTTGGAGTTGACATTATGAATTATAAATTTACATCTATTCCTACTTGACGCTACAATAATGCAATTTCTAGTTGTAGGCTTGGTGCACAGTAATGCTAAATTTGAATGATTCAAAATGTTTCAGGACCAGAGAAGTTTGGCTTCTCCATACAACCCACTGACGAGGGAGTTATAAAACTTTCCAGTGATTTTGTTATTTTTTAAATATTGAGAAATTTACATACATTTCACACAATTCTTATGTATTTACATATCTAACACCCAAAATTTGATTTTTACATTTATAACAATGCGGTTGCCAATCCCACTTGGTGGGATAAAGACTTGTTGTTGTTGTTGTTGTTATACTTATAAGAATTTGGTATCATAAACTTATGAATGAAAATGTGTATTTCACTTTTACAAAGATAGTGATTGCGATATTTTTTATGTGATGTTAAATATTTGAGTGATATATGTAAATATAAATGTTGGTGTTAGATATATAAATACAAGAGTTGTGTTCTATGCATTTAAATGCTCCTTAAATACTTTATTCGGAGTGTAAGATCTTAATGGTTAGATAAACTTGGGGTACATTGAATTATTACCTGTAACGTGTGTTTTTTTGCTTATTTTGTTTTACCAAGTACGTGAAACAATGCAAGGAACATGGATATATGAGGAGACAACACCAGTTTTGTGCAGCAACTTACCATCTGATTTGGCTGCACTAATATTGTGTATCTATTACGAGACTTTAACACTGAGGAGATTAAACTTTAATCGGCTATAAAATAATATTATAAAAAATGCTGCTAATATATATATCTATATTACAATTATGACAGATGTTAGAAATCAACAATACAATGACCATTTCGTCTATAGAAAATATTTAATGAAAACCAAATTGAAACTATTAAATTGACAACGCATATTCTGTGTTAGAGCAGATGAAATCATGAATTCTGTCCTAATAAGATTTTTAACTGTGGTGCGAAGGCTGAAGCATAGAGACCCAAGGTAACAAATTCCCATTCATAAAAATTCTTGAAATGCTTTTTCCTCTGATGTTTGGAATCCAAATTCTCTTCACTTCGTTCCATTTCATTCTTTTCATGTTATCTGCTTTTTTTCTTCCCTCATAGCTTATGAGCTTTCGGCTCTCAGCTTCCATGGATTCAACTCTTGAAGGGAGTTCTTCCATCACCAAATTGGATTGCTCCAATAACCCTCCTTGATAAAAACTAGAAGCTAAAAGAAGCTCAATAAGACTTAGCATGCCAGTTGCTCCACCTCTACAGAAGGTAGAGCCCTTCTTCAGCTTGTTGCAGAAGAAATTTTTAAAATTTTCAAAGATGGAAACTCTTGATCTAGCTCTTTCTGAAGAATCAAATCTGCCAACCATGAAATCGATTGGATTTAGATGGATATTGATCTTGTTTGCTGGTGCGATATGATGAAATAGTGTTTTGGAGACAGTTTGGCTTGACTTAAGCAGTCCTTGGTTGAACTGAATCATTTCGTGATAAACATCAAAGGAAGGGGAGCCATTATTATTGAGGTCGTGGTGTTCATATTGGTTGAAATCATGTTGATGAATGTTGATGAAACCGATGGAGAAATCATCTTCTTGGGATTGAGAGTATATGGGTTTGCTGTCTATTTCAGTTGATTCATGGGTAAAGTTTCCTTGATGTGTTTCTGCTGCAATCAATCTGAGTATGAGTGAAGTCGGGAACACATGAAACTGCTATTTATATTTTCTTACATGGGCATAATGATAAATAAAGATCAATTATTTTGTGGGAAAATTCAGAATCTCTCCACATTTTGAGAAGTATTTACATCCTTTAAGAGAAAATGTGGAGTCTTTTTAGACGAGAAAGAAACAAATATTTACAATGATTGGATTGATGAGAAACTAGAACTATGATCACTAATGGTGATTCAATTGATAACGAAGAAAGATTTTTTTTGGTTTAGTTTTTAATCTTAAGATAGAATGAAGGTTTGATCAAACTTTTGTAGAATTCTGTTTAGAATTTTTATCCGGTGTAATGAAAGCTTTATTAATCCAGAAATTTTTGTTTTTTGTATTATTTGTTTCTTTTACATTGAAGATTCATTTCTTCTATGCATCTTTATGTGAGAGACTGATCGAACTACATCACACAATGTTGGCTATTGTTTGATATTTGAAATGGGCATTCATATTTCTAGGCGAAGAAATTAAAGAACATGGGAATTTCATTAGTTGAAAAAATTGAAATTATATTCATTAAAATTAAATTACTTCGATAAGAATAGGGATATTTAAAATTTGAAGGATGATTGAAAGAGAGAATTGTATTTACCTTGATCATCAGAGATTTGTTCTGTTTGAGGATTTGAACTGCAATCCTTCTGCCGCACTTCTTTATTCACCTGATTAAACAAAAATAACATTCTTATCCACCGAAAATAGATTAAAACCATAATGAGTAAAATGTTAAAATTGTTCCTTCACTATTTACTTTGTGGGGGGGGAGAACGTTTATAGAAGTGTCAAATTAGTCACCAGACTCTTTTAATTGGGGCTAAACTAGTCATGCAGTATGACTATTTCAGCTCATGTGTAAAGAGTCTGGGGATTGACACTTTTATAATCTCCGGGGCTAAAATGACTTTCTACAAAGAATCAGACTAATATTCAAATCACACCTCTATCAAATTCTCTCCCAGTTTTTTAACATCCCTGAGATTCTTCCCTTTCTTTTGGTCCTTGAACTCATCTTCCAATTCACTGATGTCAACAAAGGATGACTGATCATCAAGTTCATGCGACTTAGCCATGAACCTCGAGGAACCCTCACCATTCCCAGATTCATTTAGAGAGGAGAGAGGCTCGTTGAAGTGAGGAGTAATTCTAGTAGTCCAGATGTCTTCATGGAAATTAGGGTTATTGATTAGTTCTTGGGAAGCTGAGGCTACTGAAAGGATTTCATGCAAAATGTCCCCTCTATTTGTGGTATGTTGAGAGTAATTAGTAGTGCGCAGGATTTTTGGGTCAGTCATATGGAGTTGTGGATAGTCTTCTACTTCCAAAGAAGGCAATGGGAATCTTTCTTGAAGCCTGGCACACTCCAATGCTACATCAACCTGCATGAGTTTAGTAAGATGGAAGTCACCTTTTGTAATTAAACTATAGTTCATGTCGAAGCACTTCAGTAATCACTCTTAGAAATTTGTTTTATAGTATATTTTCATTAATTATTTTGATTAAATATTGATTACCGCACAACTTCTCTAAAAGCATGGTTAAATTTACTTTCTATCACTTTTTTCTTATCTTTAGTCGCATATTTTTGATGTTGTGGTTAATATTTATGTGGTTAAAGCTATTTATTTTAGCCAAAAGTTTTTAGAAAATAATTCTGAAAGCTTTAGAGACAAATAATAATCATCATTCAAAAGAACGTTATTATGCTATTAAAAATAATGCTTAGAAGTTGCTACTTATTTTGAGGATAGAATTTTATAGATGTTATTAATTAAACAATGGTGCGTATTTATTGCATACAGGATGTATATATTACGAAGAAAATAAATAAGAGACTTAATATAATTAAGAGAAGCTGGATGTATATTTTTCCAAATTATTTATTATCCTACTTAACAATTTCTTAATATGCACAACCAATACCTATAATGGGATGCCTTTCGTAAGTTTTTGAGTAGAGCTATTCTAAGAGTTTGTATACTAAAATTTCCCTTCAAACTTATAAGCGAGAAAATGGGGAAGAACATAAACTTTGATGAAGATATTCACCATTTGTTCTATCATGAAACATAGGATTACTAACAATGTATATGTACATATTGATTACTGCAATGCAAAAGAATAGACTAAGCTATTAGGAATTCAAATTCTTCTAGTAGATTATTGACCAATAACAGTTGACATGCAGAATGAGACACGACTCTATATTCTGCTTTAAAATTTGATCTGAACAATTTTCAATTTACTCTTCTAAGTGATCAAATTTCCTCTTACAAAATATAATACTCAGAAGTTGATTTTTGCCGTTAGAAAGTTAAGCTAATTTTACATTAGTGAATGCTTCAACTTTTAAATGCCCCATCTAAGAATCCATGTTTCTTTTAGGAGTCTTGTTAATGTATTTGAGATTACAGAGAACAATATTAAAATGCTTTTATTTTTGGTTTTGCATATTGATATGTCATCAACAAATTTTGTCATTTAACACGAATCTTGAGTCAATTAGTATAAATTTCAAAGCATTTCTAGTAGGCAATATTCAAACTCAAATTAAAAATCACCTTGATCTCTGATATCGACAAACTTATAGTCAAACTGACCGGCTCGACGAGATAGAACCATTGTCACCAAAATTGACCCAATCCAAATCAAATCATGCCCATATCAAGTCATTAAATCACTTTTGGAAAATTTGGTTGACTAATTGAAAGTTCAAATGAATTTTAAATCTGACAAGCTTATAGTTGAATTGAGTGTTTCGATAAGAGGAGTCTAACGAGCCTAATTTTGACATCGTTATGACACATGTCCACAAAATGAAATTCGATTAGAGGAATCTCTCCAGGTCGTCTAATGGAGTGGTTTATATTACTTTCTTGTTTGCAGAGAGACCACTCTCATACTCTATAAATAGAGTTCTATTGCTTCATGAAAGGGGACCCAGACCTGAACTGAAAGAAGAGTCGGACCTGGAGTTGGTTTGTGAAAGAGCTGAATTTCAGTGCTGCTCTAAATCGAAGATCTGACGAACGCTTCCCGGTCAACCACTGCTCATTGGCCACCATCGACCACTATTGACTGCCCCCTGCTCTTTGCAATAAAGTCTCTTGCTGAGTTGCGACGTATGCTGCGAATTAACGAAGTACCGTGCTGAGTAAAGAGCAACATTGCAAAGTTATGAGACATTTTACGGAGTAATTTATTATTCTGAACACCATATAATGAAACACGAAGATGGTACATCGAAGCCCAATTACTCCCAACTATGGTTGAAAATGAGTCGAGCTTGAGCGAGCTTAGGGTTGGCTCATGTTTGGCTCGTTCAAAATTGACTGTTGTTCGAAATTGGCTTGTGTTCGAAATTGCTCTTGAACAATGTGTTTATGTTCAGCTCGATTTATATATTCTTGTTCGCGTTCAGCTCAAAATTGACTTGTTTAAATTAATTCAAAAAATAGATGTAGGTTGTTGGATTCAAACTTGCACTAATTCTGTGCATTAGATGGTGCAAAATTATATGATCGCACAGTTGATATGATTTAAACTTAGATATAAATATATATAATATATTATTATATATATAATATAAATAAGATATTATTATATGAATAACATATATAATTTTCTATTTTGAGCTAAAACTAGCTGAACACGGTCGAACAAAGGATTGTTTGTATTCAACTCATTTATAATTTGAGTTTATTTTTTTTTTGTGTTCGGCTTATTTACATAATGAATGAATCAAATAAGAACTTCTTCACAAGCCAAACTCGGGCTATTTGCGAACAACAAATATTTTTGATAGCCCTACTCTCAACTGCAACCTCTCTCTACTATCGTGCAACAAATCTTTGTGCATATAACCTCTGTATCTCAAGGAGCTATGTAATCCTTCTCCACCTGCGGGAAAATGAACTTTGCGTGTATTCATTAATTTATTATTTTATGTTCTAACTAGGCTAGGTCCCGTGGTTCTTTCTCTTTACAGGTTTTCCACGTAAAAAACTTCTGGTGTCTTTACCTGTCACTTTAATTATTTGTGTGTTGAGCTTTTATGTAACATTAAGATGCTAAATAATCATTCTAACACTGTGAATCTTCCGACACGCATTGCATATATCGATTTACAACTCGAACAACAAAAGAGATTAAATCATATGATTATTACATAAGTCGACTTTTTAATTAATATTTAATATTAAGATTTATTATGATATGATGTAATATTGTTTGGTTATCTTTTATGTTCTGAGATTTGCACCCTATAAATCCAAGATCTTCATGGAATCAATGACAATTTTTTTAAGAGATAGAGATACCTTTTTAACGCTAAGTAAATTCAATCCTAAGAATGTATGTATAGGATGTTTAAAATCCTTACAATTCTTAAAGCAGTGCAATATATCAAGTGCATAAATTGCTTGTATAATTGAGTATGTTGTTATACATTTGATAAAGATAAAATGATCTATAGTACTATTTCATAAACTAAATTTTGCAAGAACTCTATAGCAATTGTCTAGTCAAGCCCATGAACTCTACTTGAGCTCATAAATGATTTTCCTAAGTAGGCAGATGCATTTCTTTCCTTGAGCAATGTATCGAAGAGGTTGCTTCATATATATTGACTCATTTAAATCAACATAAAGGAACGTGTTACTGATGTTCTTTTGTGACATAGGCCAACATTAAATGATTGAACATAAATAATAATTTTGATAGGTAGGGTCCGATGATTAGAGAGACAAAGTGTCGAAATAATCCATCCCATAAAAGCAAGTAAAATATTTGGCAACTCCTCACTTTTGTACCCATAAATTAAGCTATTATGATGAAAGTTGACACCAAATATCCATCGACAAGAAAATGAATTAGTCTCAGAGACAGGGGCAACCAATTCTCATGTTTGTTGGCCATGAAGAGCATTTATCTTAATCCTTGTGCATTATTTTTTTAAGAATGTGATAGCATTATATGTAGAAATTTGGGCAAAATAAATATTTTTTTCTCCAATGAAAATAATACAACAACAAATATAAAATATAAAGGATAAACGTCTACAATTCGAGAGATATGTAAATTGAGCAAGTAAAGCAAGTAAAATATTTGGCAACTCCCCAGTTTTGTACCCATAAATTGAGCTATTATGATGAAAATTAACACCAAATATCCATCGACAAGAAAATGAATTCATCTCAGAGGCAAAGGCAACCAATTCTCATGTTTGTTGGCTATGAAGTGCATTTATCTTAATCCTCGTGCATTATTTTTTTTAAGAATGTGATAGGATTCTACGTAGAAATTCGGGCAAAATAAATATTTTTTCTTCAAAGAAATTAATACAACCACAAATATAAAATATAAAGGATAAACATCTACAATTTGAGAGATAGGTGTTCTCTTACAATTCTTACAATTCGAGAGAAATCTCTCACAAATCCTAACCCTAAAACTCAAAACAATATTCTCATGCATAAGCCTTACCCTAAACTATTAAACCCTATTTATACCGAACAATAATAAATAATAAAAGACTAAATTGCCCTTAGACTAATAAAGGACAAAATTACCCGTAGGCTAGGAACCAACTTAACAATACTCTCCTCCCAAAAGGATGCATTGTCCTCAAAGTGAGAAAAACTGCTACTGGATCAAGTCGTGTGACTCCCGCTCATAACTGGCATGAGTCTGGTTCTCGCCGTCAGCATTGACACACTCGTCATGACCAACTTCTCAAAAGTCTGGGTCATTATTTTCCTCCACTGAAAGTTGTTCTTCAATTTCTTCGTCCACGATCACACTATCAAATTATAACCCTTCACGAACTTTCGATAGTATCTTGTAAGTCACATAAATCCTTCTCAAGCCCTTTATACTCTTAGGTGCAACCCCTATAACCTATCTGCTACGTTCGATGGATTCACTTACACCATGGTCTTGCACAAGCTAGGGTCACCACGAAGCACCACTGTCTTATCTACCTCCTGAAACTCTATGGTCAAAAGTTTCCAATTCATTTTAATGTCTCCTACGGATAACAATAATTTCATGCCCAATATCATGTCAGTGCTCCCTAAATTTAAGAATAAAATCTTCCATCACCTAAATGTCCGACAGTGTTAAACTTACTCTTCTACAAACTCCCCTGCTCTTCTCCACACATCCCATCCCTATCATGACTCCAAAACTTTCTGTGACACCATCTCAAGCCCTAATTTCTTAACTATTTACCTCACTAGAAAAAAAATAAGTTCAGAGTGGAGACAAGGTGGAGACCTCTAGCACTTTTGAATTTGTCTCAGTTAAGAATTGTTTTAAATTTCATGATTTTGGGCACATTGCGTTTGATTGCCCAAACAAAATGGTGATATATTTCACT